TTCACTTATTGGAATTAGGGGTGAAAAGGATGCCTTAAGACGCTTGCAGTCCATGGTAGCAGGAAGGCAAGTTGACTCGTGGTCTAAAAGACTTGGAAGTAATGCAAATGGCAATGCTCCGTTTGGGGGAAGTGTAATAGGAAGTTTTAGCAAAACCTGCTTCGAGAAAGACTTTCCATCCCTTCAAGCTGAGGGAAGGCAGGGCCTTTCAGATGCAAGTGGTGTATCAACCCCTGGTCTTAGAACTGCTGTTCAGAGTCTGCCCTTTAGTTCTCCTTTTATAATTGGAACATCTGCTCTGGCAGAAGTACCAGTAAAAGTTGAAACTAATGGTAATGTACTCTCTCCCGTTGCACAAGTTGCTCCCATTAGTCAGGCATCTGCAACAGGAAGCACTATGACCGGATTAAACATGGCAGAGGCACTTACTCAGGTACCATCCCAAGTTGGTAGCACTCCTCAAGCAATATATAGAATGGGATAGTGGTTGCTTGTTTCTCTTTTAGGAGAGATTGTGTTAACATGACATTTAGTTTCTTAATTATTTTACAGTTATCTGTTGACACTCAGAGGATCGAGGAGCTTACGTTAAAGAAGTGCAAGCAGCTAATACCCATGACACCTTTGATGCCTAAGGCCTTGGTATGATAACCTCCTAGTTTCTTGGAAAGACACGATTTCTTACTTTGATACATTGAATCTATTGTGTTGCTTTTTTCCTCATTTCTTTTTATTTTGTAGTCTCTAATGAGATGAATCTCCTTTGAGCCTATGCTTCATGTTGACCTATAATTTCTGTAGTGAGATGAGTTAGCATGTCTTTGAATTCAATGATAAGATATTATTTATCCATTCTAGTAGCCATTTAAAATGGGACAAGAGTTTGGATCAACTTTCTAAGTAATTCAAACCATTATATATGCTGCATGAGGAGGCTTGTGGTAAATTCTGAAAACACAAGCATTGGATTAGGATGCTGTATGTCTTCTGCTGTAGGTAAATCGGTTGTACATGTGCTGTGATGTAACATGAATTTTATGCAATAACGTATTTGTAATTTGTTCACATTTCATTATGGTATGCTACTTCAAACGTGCATTGTTTAGTTGCATATACTGTACTTTTCTAAAGACAGATTCAAGTGATTCTGAACATTGGATTGTAGGTTTTGTTAATTGTAGTAGTACATTAACATTATATGTAGGAGTTTGCCAGTTGGTTGGTATTTTTTATCTTAATGGAATAGGTTTCTTCTTTAAGACTGACAAATTTTGCTTGTCTGCTATAGGAGTACAAAAGATCATAACAAAAGATATTATTTTGAACTCTCCAAATTTTGAATGTTATGTGAAAGCAATGTGTTTATATTTTCTTCATTTGGCTATTTTTAGAAAGTCTATGTAGTCCTTGTATTTTTGCCCATGTTCCCATTAGATTATCTCCTTTTTTGAATTCAAGGTAGAGCCTGGTGATTCTGAACTTTGGAATGTAGGATTTGGCAAGCTTGGAGTACACTAATATGACCTGTAAGAGTTTGCCGGTTGATTGGTATCTTTTATCTTAATGGAGTAGGCTTTTTTCTTAAGAGAAAAAGGCTGCTTGCCTACTGCATAAGTACAAAATAAATAGCTATTATCTTAAGCTTTCAGATCTAAATGCTAAAATATAAGCAATGTGATGTAGGAGCAATTTAGTTTGTGTTATTAAATAAATTTATTAGTTTTGAGATATTTTTGCATTTGTCATAAGTTGCCATCTACTCAAGGTAAAGAAAAAGGAAACAAATATAGGAGAAGTGGAAGAAATCAAATTTATTATTGATTGAAGATTGCAAATCTTGATCGAAGATCTTAAATATTCATCTCTACAAAGATAGAAGTCTATCTATCAATAATATCATCAAGAAAGGAAGGTTATCTCTCAAATCATGTCAAGAGTATTATCTTCTTTAAAGGATGGAATAGATCGTATATTTGATTTGATGTGATTATAATTTTTCTTACTTCTGTAATTTTCTTTTTATCTTTGTATTTAAGCCTATAAAATGAGCTAGAACATTATAATAGATGAATTAGAAATGAATAAATGAAATGAGTTCTTTTCCCACCTTGAGTGTGAGTGGTACGAGACCACATTTTTCCTCCGATAGCATGATTCCATCATCCACGTGCGAGATGTGTGGAGGTGCGAGGCCTTTATCCTGCCCTTGAGCCAAAGTGAGTCGGGTAGTTATCCCTTTTTTTTTTTTTATTATCTTTCAGTTACTATTTTTTATTCCTCTCTTTTACGATCCTCTATTATCAACAAAAAATATTCTTCTCCTCTTGTCCTACATTACAATGTATTTGTCCCTTGTTCAAAATTTCAAATTTTAGAATGTTTTTGGTCATTTGTCTCCCGTTATTCTATCTGAGCGATACATAATTTTCTAACTTTTTTCCTAATTTGGGCTAGGTTCACAATTGTCAATGCCTTTGTTTAGAAGTTTCAAAGTAGGAAGTTTAAATTATGAAATTTTGGGAAATTCAGTTTGTACTAATGCAAATTGGCAATTATGATCCTACGTTCCATATCGCCACTATGATCTTGCTTTCTGAGCATGTGCACAAGTTGACATTCGTGTGCAACCCCATGTTTTCTCCCCTCTCCTCTTATGGATGCAATTATCTTCTTCTCTTTCCTCTCTCTCCCCGCTCCCTCTCCTTTTTTATCCGTCTCCACCTCTCGATGCTACGAGTTCTCATGCCCACCATCACGATATCTCCTCCTCCAACTCATGTGGCAGTACCTCTCTTTTTAGGGCTCTCTCTCTCTTTAGTTGAACCCTTGCTGCCTCTCTTTCTCTCTTTTTCTCTTGCTCTCAATAGTCATGAAGGCTAGTGGTACAACCCCTTGTCGTTCTCTACATCTCTTCAACAAAGTCACCCTCCTCTCTATCCTCGGTCTTCCTCGATGGCTCACGATAGCGTCGATGATTTATTAGAGACTTAGCTGGAATTGCCGAAGTTATGAGACACTCTTGAGTTATTTGTCCGTAAAGGGTCAACCTAAGAGCAACCTCGTACATGTCTTAAAGAACCTGCAAAACAAACTTGATTAGCTTAAGAAAACGAGTGGAGAACAAGTCTCAACGTCTTGTAAAAGAGGGTAGTTTACAAGCAATTCAGTAAGCACTTGGTGTGTGAGAGAGAATAAAGTGGAAGAGGAAAACAAAAATTTTAGAAGGTAAAATAATAGTCACAAGTCGACAAGGTAGCTTACAAGCAATTCAGCAAGAACTTGGTGTATTAGAGAGAACATAGAGGGTAGCTTACAAGCAATTCAGCAAACACTTAGTGTTTGTTGAATAGTCACAATTCTTGATGTTTCGCAAAAGAATAGTCACAATACTCGACGTCTCACAAAAGAGGGTTGCTCGCAAGCAATTTAGCAAACACTTGGTGTATAAGAGAGAACAGAGAAGAAGAGGAAAACAAGAGTAGTCACATGTCGACATGGTAGCTTACAAGCAATTCAACAAACAGTTGGTGTCTCTGAGAGAATAGAGAGGGTAGCTTACGAGAAATTCATCAAACACCTGGTGTTTACTGAATAGTCACAAGTCTTGATGTCTCGCAAAAGAAAAGTCATAAGTCTCTGACATCTCGCAAAAGAGGATAGCTTATAAGTAATTCGGCAAACACTTGGTGTGTAAGAAAGAACGGAGAGGAAGAAGAAAACAAGGACTTTAGAAGGCAAAAGAATTGTCGCAAGTCATAATAGACAGAGATGAAAAGGAAAACAAGGTATGATCTTGCCTTCTGAGCGTGTGCACAAGCCAACGTTCGTATGCATGCCCACGTTGCCTCCCCTCTCGTGGATGCAAGTATTATCTTCTCTTTCCTCTCTCTCCCCGTCTCCCTCTCCTTTTTTATCCCTCGCCACCTCCCGTTGCTGCTAGTTCTCGTGCCCACCATTGTGATGACCCCTCCTCTAACTCATGTGGCAGTGGCTCCCTCTTTAGGGCTCTCTCTCTATCTCTCTCGATATCTCTCAGTAGTCTTAAAGGATATCGGTACAATGCCTTCTCGTCACTCTTTGCATCTCCTTAACAGAGTCACCCTCCTCTTGGCTCTCTATCCTCGCTCTTCCTTGATGGCTCTTGATAGCATCGATGATCTATTAGAGACTTAGTTTGAATTGCCTAAGTCGTGAGACACCCTTGAGTTATCCATTCGTAAAGGGTCATCCTAAGAGCAATCTCGTACAGGACTCGAAGGACCTGCACAAGAAAGTTGGTTAGCTTAAGAAAATAAGCGAAGGTTAAGTCTTGATGTCTTGCAAACGAGGGTAGTTTACAAGCAATTTAGTAAACACTTGGTGTATTAGAGAGAACATAGAGGAAGAGGAAGCCAATGACTTTAGAAGGCAAAAGAATAGTCACGAGTTAACAAACATTGCTCAATAGAGTGCTAGGCATGTAAGACGAGTTTTTGTATGCTCTACATGCGAACTTGTGTTTCTAAACAATGCCCAACGCTACCCCAAAGCCCCATCCAATCCTGTGCCACCCGGGTGGTTCTAGGGTCCTGAGTTGGTTGACATTTCGCACCACATCGCAGTCTATAGAATACTAAGCTATTTTGGGGCAATTTTTATATCGGTGAGTATCTCATTTTGCTCGAGCGGACGCTTAGCACCTCGAGCTATTTGGAGGGTAGGCACCTTTTAGTGCCTAGCTGCTTTCACAAGACTGGTTTAATATGCAGATGAACCAAGTTGACCTAAATCTTTTTAGGCTTGCTCCATCAAGGCAGATTCAGACTGTCATATTAGTGTTTCTTGATTCTTAGAGACTCTGCTCATGACTCCTATTTGGTTTTTGTTATATAATGATCATTGAGCATTTCTATCAATAAGGTTATAGAGAACTAACCTATTATATATATTTTTATTAAGATATTTAAACAAAAAATTACAACTAACCTAATGTCAGTCCCCTTCGAGTTGGGTAATTAGTTTCTAGCCAAGTGATTTTGTAAATAAGGATTTTACTAAAGATTTGGCAGCAAGTTCTGTATATTTGACTATGCCTAATCTAAAATACAACTATTTTATAGCCTTCAAAAGTAATTGAGGATTCAGAATCATCATGCTTTATTTGAATTGGTGAGTCTGATGATTCTTTGCTACTCATATGTTTGAACATCTTGGCTGTGTATGGATGGTTTAGGCTGGTTTTCAACCATTAGTAGTTCCATCATGATTGCTTATGACTGACTCCGGCTTGATTTTGGCCAATCTCAGGTTGATTGTGAATAATCCTTTTCAGGATCGAATCTAGTCAATTTGACCAAATCATCCTAAATTTGAGCCTAAATTCTAGTAATTTTTAATTCAAATTTTGGATTAATGAACCATGCTCAGAGGTCTTTTGGAGTGCAGAATAATTGCAGTATATGATTGCAATTTAGATCATGCAATTAGAGTTCCTTTGAAAATTCTCCCCTTCTATAAGATGAGCAAAACAAAAGGGGTATTACCAAACCAAGCGTAAGTGCAAATATTGGTAAATTAACCATTATCTACAAGCTTCCATAAACTATTTCAATATTATTAAACAAACCACAAAAAGATCTTCTGGACACATTAGGAGAACTCACTTTTCAAAGTTCAGATTGCCATATTCTGCATTATTAACTTGAACACAAAGAAACTTCTCATTGTTAAGAATAGGGATAGTTCTTTTCACCTAAACAGGTTTCTTATCCACATGAATATCTCTAATCCTCATCCCACCCAAGTTTTTAGGATTGCCAACTCCCACCCAACTAATGAAAGCAGGCTTATGGCTAAAGGAATGAGAACTTTGAAAAGCCCCTACACTTTTTTAATACTCTAAGTCTCAAGAAGTTCTTCAGTCACTCCAACATTGTACAATGTATAGGTAGATATAGCATTAATCACAACATTAACAGATTTACTAGCCTGAGTGATGAGACTTTTGTATCATCCTTAAATTTTTTGATTGGCCTTGTCCACCAACTGTTGTAACCAATCAGCTAATCTACTAGGGGTAACATATGAACTAAGAACCTATATACTTCATAGGCTAAGCCTTTAATTTCAAGAGAATTATGAATGAGATGCTTAGTGGAAGGGTCACAATTTTTAGGTGGGAAAAATCAGATTTGCCTTTGCTAATCTTGAGGTCAGTGCGATAAAAAAAAATGTCTAGAGTCTTGATCACATCATTACAAGACTTGTTACCTATTACCTACAGAATGTCACATGCATATATCAGATGAGAAAATTTTACTCCTTCGACAATGAAAGTAGAGATCCAGCTACTATCCACCATATCTTTATGAATGCTTGAAAAGATATGTTAGACTCTGATAAATATGGAGAAAGAATCACCTTGTCTTGCCCTTCTACTTGACTGAAATCAGTTATACATAATTTCATTAATTAAATAGGAGGAGGGAGAGGAAATACAAGCCATAATCCATCTGATCATCTTAATGTGAAGGTTCAACATAAGTGAGAATATGTTCAATGGCTTTCCAAGATAACATATCGTAAGCTTTTTCCATTTCAAGGCTGATTAAAGTTATGGGACTTGCTATAGTAAGAGACAGGATGGACGAGCACTTAGTAATAAAGATGTTGACATGTATATTCCTACAAGGGACAAGGGCATATTGTTTTTCGATAACCAACTATTCCAAGTATTTTTTGAGTTTTTTAATCTAAGACTTTAGGAAATAGTTAAAAGACATTAGAAAGGGGTATATACCTAAGATTCTTAATTTTGATGCTTTTGATCTTCTTAGAGATAAACAGAAGGTAGGCCTTACCCTAGCTCTAATAAATGTGGATCTCATTAAAGAATTCAAATTCTCACTTAAAGAGTCCTAATAACATTTGAAGAATTCCACAATTATCAGGATCATGACTTTTACCAAGTTCCACTTGAAACAAAGCATCATGAATTTCGCAAAAGGATAACCTCTCACAAATGATCTGATGCGTACTACCATCCAAGCTACAGCCCATCGTACAAGCCTTCCATCCATCAAGACAGAATTTCAAGACAGAATTAGTCACGATCTGCCTAGAGCTCCTTATACCATTTGGTGAAATAAAGGTCAAAGTCCTCTATCATAAAGCATGCCATCATCCTCTGGGGAGATAAGAGTGGGTGGTGTTCAATCTTCTCCTTTGCTGATCCACTGACATTTTGCTTTGGTCCTCTAGTAAGCATTTATATATTGAAAGCAATTATCTTATTGTAAAACAACTGAATGCAACCCTCAATTGGTGAAGTTATGTAAGCTCTTTTTCTCTTCAAGGGTGGATATTTCCTAACGATAGCATTATTCATTCTATCAAGATTGGGCTCCCTTGCACCAGATTAAGAGGATCCACACCTAGGTTATTATCTCTCCGTATATCCTAAATTTTATCAGAGAGTTCAGAAAAATTGAACCAGTGAGGCATAAACCTAAATATTTTAGTTCTTTTAGGGTTCCTATAAGCAAGGCCTGACTTCATCAAGATGGAGTGAATAATCAGAGAAAACCCTAGGGAGATTGTGAATTGTGACACTTCTGAAACAGGATAATCATTATTCATTAACAAAGTCTTTGTTGAATCTATCAAAGACCCTGGAGGTTCCAAAATGGTTATTACCTCAAGCTAGAAGACCATCAGAGGAAATAAATCACAAAATACTTAACAGATTTAGAAAGAGTAATAGCCTGCCTCTAGCTTTTTCTTCTGGACACCAAGGAATGTTGCTAAAATCACAATTATTGAGTTATCTCCATAAAAAATTACGAGTAGTGAGGACAACACTTGCATAAATGACAATTAAGGACTAAGTGGTCTTACTAGTTTCTTCCATTACTATGTTAATGGATTGAGTACTACTGCCAAGTGAATCATAAGCATCTAAAACCTTCCAAGCCACCAAAATTTCTCATAAATGGCCTTTGTCAGCTTCAAAAGTCCCTTCCCACTTCACTCCCACTTTGAGAAAGAATCAGATGTGGAGGTGCTAAACCTTTTAATGATGCCATTAAGATGAACAGAACTTTCTCTCTTATTAGCACCTCTATATTTCCAACAAATAATGTTATAAATAAGTTGCAAGGTCATCTTTTTCCTCTTGGCACATAACCAAGTTCTTACACTCTATGCTAGATTCATTTTTATGCATCTATTGTTTCTTGGATTTTTTTGTTTAAAGAAACTAAAAAAGGATTGATGGCCCAAAAGAACAATTCTTTGTCGTTTTAGAGCTGCCTTTAGGCGTGTACCAGCATCTTTAGTAAGAAGAAAGCCTCTTCTAATAAGAAGCCATCATCTTCCACGAGTCCTTCTCTTGCTTTTCTTGAAGGAATGATAGCATTATCTACCAAATCATCGAAGGTCAACTATGCCCTCGACCCTTCCATTGCTGGTCGCAATCGCTTTGCCCTCTTGCTTGTTGCTGATGGAAACCAAAAACAAAAATGTTTCAGAGAGAGGCCCTCCCCCTTTGCCTCCTCAAGCTTGTTTGTCGCTAGAGTTGCAAAGTGGTTAGGTGACTATCAGACCATCTTTTGCCTTGTTACACGCACCAGACATAGAGCTTTCTTCTTTTCCCCTCATAGAAGACCAGAAAAGACAGCTTTCATCTTGATATAGAAATACCATTAAGTGACTTATGATATAGAAATACCATTATGTGAAACTATGAAAATAAGATATGATAAGACACAAATACATCAATAAGAACACATATTAGGTTTGTATCTTTATTTTATTGTGTTTTTTATTGAGAAAAATATGGCTGAGCATGAAGGATCTGATGAATTAAAAATTGATTCATTTGAATTTGTCAATTTGATGATTAATAAATGTTTTAAACTTTTTTTGCATATTTTGAAGGTTAAAATATGTAGTTATGGAACATGATACATGAAAAGAATATCTAGCAAATATTGCTGAACCGTATTTAGGAAAATAAGTTATTTACGAATTAAATATAATGCCCAAAAATATTGAGAAAATAAAGAATTGTAAAAAGAGAAGGTGGAATCATTATTTTATTAATTTTAAGATAATGCTTAATGCAGGTAATGCCATACAACCCATCTCATATCATATATCCATCTTGTCATTTTTTTCTAAAGATTTTATTCCAGAAGAACAGAGTTCTCATTTAGACACAGTTTGTAAATTTACAATGTGGTACAATACATCAGCCATGTGACTTCATTTCTGGCACTTTTTTAAAATGCAAATTGGATACTATAGTTGAAAAATCTTGTTAGGATGGTTCATACTATAATATGATTTAAGTGTGTTTTGTCTTGTAGTTTGTTCTTTCTCTGCACACACTTTTTCTTCTGTTTGTAAAGGCAATAGTTTTTCTTTTTGTTGATTATTTGTGTTTCGAAGGTTTGTTTGTTTGCTCATGATCATGTATTTCTTTCAGAGTTGCAACTCATCAGAAAAGACAAAGTCAAAACTTGCAATTGGTGGAGATTATAGTTCTCCCACTAAGGTTGGCCAGCGGTTGCATGTGAACCTTACTGTTGGCAAATTGGCTAGATCTGACATTGCAAAGACATCTCAAACAGGAAATTTTCAAGTTCTTAACCGAGAGAAGAAAAACGTCTCCCCTGCTGCTAAAGATAACTCAAATGTTGGCAAACCTATGAACCTCATTGGCGTTGCTCCATCTGCCGTGGTCCTTCCTTTGAAGAGTCCAACTGACCAGAATCTTAAAGTTGATAAGAATGGTGCCTTATCTCATACCTCCTTTGGGGAAAGAAAACTCCTTACCCAAGCTCAGAATAGGAATGATTTCTTCAATTTACTAAGGAAAAAATCATCTAGTAGTGCAAGGGCTATTCTAGAGCCAACCTCTGTTGGCCTGACATCAAAATTGGATAAGTCGGAAGAAGTGAACCTGCAAATCACTTCCCCCACCACCATGGAAAATAACAACCTTTCATTGGTATCTGACTTGGATTGCTCGACGGAGATCAGAAATTGTACGAATGGAGATTTTTGTGCCTCTGATGAGTCCAAGAGATTTTGGACTGACAATGGAGAAACTAATGGTTGTGCGGACATTGTTGTCGATCCAGAAGAAGAAGCCTTCTTACAGTCGCTTGGATGGGATAAAAATGCATGGGAGGAAGCTCTGACCAAGGAGGAGATTGAAGCCTTCCTTAAGAAGGTAAAGAAGCTTTCTTATGTATGCTAAGGATCTTCTCGTTTGTGCCTTGGCATGGTCATCCATAGCATTGTTTTGTGGGTTTTCTTCCTACTTACATTGTTTTATTTCCGATAGCATCCTATTCTCGGTACGAGAAACAGAGACCATTGAAGCTCGTGCCTAGTGATATGCACGGGGGCAACTTGCCTGGTGTAGACGCATGAAGAAATGCTGGTAGTCAGCTGGCTTTCTGAAAGTGATTTCTAATTGCTTGCTGTTTAGAGGGTTGAAATATGAGTTGGAAATATAGGTTGATGAAAAAGAAGAGTGGACTTTTATCCTTCAGCTGCCAAAATGAATTCTAAAATGCAGAATAAGATTTATATAATCACTTTGGTTTATGGGGCTATGGCATTTTGTAGAGGTTTCTTCTCTTTTGGCGTGATGAAATCACTGGGCATCTGAAAAAAAGGTAAATTTGGAAAAATGATCTTTGTAATTAATTAATTAATTGAGATGTCCTTTCACCATTTATATGTTCTAATGGTCTCTGGCATTTGTTTCTTCTGACTTTTATCAATCTTCTGAATAGAAAATGCCTATAAGAAATTCTGTTTACATTTTGTACAAAGGCTGATGCATGCTGAGTGGAAATTGGCATATAAAAAAGTTCCACCTCCTTAGCAAATTACCCTGATCTCGCATAAATCTTAATCAAATACATATATTTGTCATAGAATAAGTATATGCTTAGTAAAATCGACCACCAAGTTATCAAAGTATTTAAAAGATTAGTTATACCCAAGTGTTTTAATTATCTAGATTTTGATAGGTAACATTGAAGCACATATTTTTCACATTTTTGTAAGCTTCTGTTGCCGCCTTATGTAATGCTTACGTATATAATAAGGTTGTGGTAAAATGAGGTCATCCAGACATGTCGAACAATGTTTGTACAAATTGAATCGTTAAAAGAATCCTTGTGGGGGCATTGAGGCATCAAACCCGATTTACCTTTTCGTGGAGACTTTCTAGATGGAAGGAAGGCCATCGTCTCCATCGGACATGTTTTCACAATGTCTACAAGAAGCCTGAACTCGGATGTAATAGTTACCTTGTGCCTGGGGATGATAGAAAAGACCGAATTTTATATATTCAAGGGCAAATTTCTCAAAAAAATATTATCTTCTTTTTTTTGTTTTCCTCTTTAGCATTTTCGTTTCTATTTATTCATGTAGAACATTCGTCCTATTCGTCATTATGATTTTTTTTCTTTTTCGTCACCTCAACTCTCATCTCGTCACTATCGCCCCTCATCTATCATTATCATCACAATGAAAGAGGTAGGAGGTCTCACGAGAGGGTGATCGACAACGATTTAAACATGTTAAAGCCTATTATAGCTTAGGCCTATGCACCTCCACTTCTCTTTGATGCCTCCTCCCTCTTGTATTATACTTCTCGAAGCTCAATCTTTAAGTGCTTCACTATCACTCATTATGATATTGCCATAGCCAGTGAAAAGAAGTTGAAGATGATCATGCTCTCCCACATCCCTAGAAGCCATTTTTTCTTACATTAACAATAATAGATGACGATCGAAGATGAAGGGACAAGGGTGCAATAGATGAGGGTAAGGGTGGAGGCAATGAAGCCCCTGATCGTGTCGAGATTTAGGGAATGAGAGGAGACATGAAGAAAAGAGTGTTAAACGTGATGGGCGAAGATAGTAGGGAGGAGATAATGGGTAATTTCATCTTTTATGAAACAAAGGTGCTTCACGAGAACAAATGTGGATGTTAAATAATATTTTTTTTTTGAGAATTTGTCTAATAATCAATAAGGGTGATTTTCCTTAAAAATAACCCATATTTTGGGTTTTTTCAATTTGTATCTCCCATTTTATTATTTTTTAAATAGTACCCCTTATTTAAAACATACCCAAATAGCCCCTCAAAATTTTCTTGCCTATGTTTTGGCGATTATAATAAAAAAACCTATAAAGCCAACTCACTCTAAAATACTGTAAATGATCTAAATGGATTCTTAAGCTTGACCAAATTAACTACAAGCCTAAAAATATAATATTATAATTGTCTATGAACAATTTGTTGAATCGTAGATTTTAATGATTAAATCAATTAATAAAGTTAAGATCTAATATGCGTATGAGTGAAACAGGATGAACCTCGATCAAGGAAATGTAATTCAATTAAAGCAGGAAGAATAAAATATTGGGCTAGAGTGGAACATGTTAGAAGATTAAACGTCGGACCGAAGGAATGGTCGATGTGTCGGAAGGACTTTGTGCCATGAGTTCGGGCATCGGGCCGAAGGATCGGACATTGCATAAAGGAGATTGGAAGTTGTGGGATTCAACATGCCAATTAAGCAATACGCCAAAGGAAAGTACGATGCGCCGAAAGATCAGATGAAGCGCCGAATAAACCAATGATATGCCGAACAACATAGGATTCATGCTTATAATCATGTATCTAGATCGAGTTAGTTTATGTCTAATTGAGTCAGTTTTGGGGTGAAACAATGTCAACTCAATTATGGGCCAATTGAGCCTGAGTTAAGGCTATTTTGGGTCAAGTGGAAGGCTCATTCGGTCACCCTTAAAAGGGCCAGGGTGGTGGTACCACTAGTACCTCGAAAACCTAGGGATTTGAATTTTGGTTTTAATTTTTGAAGTCATTTGGTGTCTATCCCCACAAATTCTTGCTTAGGCACAACAAGAAAGTAGAATAAAAACTCTATGCTTCTAAGGTTGTAAACTCTTTTAAAGTTTAGAGTTCCTCCTCCCAGAGCTTAGAGGTAGTCCTAAAAAAGGTGTGAGGGAATACTTATAAAAGAGGGGTGTAAAGGTGTTGAATCTCGGATTTTGAACTAAACAACTTGATTTTATTAGAAGGGAGTTAGGGATGTTAAATTTTCCGAATGCATGAGTTTGTTATATTTCTTTTGTGGACTATCTTCCTCTTAATTCATCTTATGAATAGGGCTTTCATGAAATTTGGAATATCAATCTACTTGGTATCAAATTTATTTCATACAAACTTAATGATTTTTTTTTAGACACTTTGTCCCTTGGAATTAATTGACAAATGTATCTTTTACGGATTTCACTCTTATGAATTTTTAATGAGAAATGGATTTGATTTATGAAGTTTTATTCGTGAATTTTTTTCATATGATGCTCCCTTCCCATGAATTCTTCATTTTCTCATGAAAGAAGAATTTTTATGAATGTTTAGTATGAGATGATCACACGCAAAGAATGGAGATTTGATTTCATAAATTTGATTCTTAATGGATTCCTTCCTTACCCTTCTTCCTCTTCTTATTTTTATGACAAAAGAAGAAAAAAACTTGCACGAAGAACTAAAAAGCTTATCCAAAAAGGAAGCAGGGAAAAACTTGGTTATCTATAATGTATAAAACATTTCAAGTAAAGTTTTTGCTTATCTTCCTTTATGGTTTGGATAAATTAGTGTGAAACTTGAATTTTTACCACATTTGCATTGTTGAATTGTTCTACTTTTTGTTGATGACAAAGGGAGAGAAATATGACAAATTAAATGTTTGAGACAAATGTATAAAATGTATCTTGTAGTAAATGCTTGAAACATATTAAAATGTATTTCATATGCATTATATATATACTTGAAATGTTTCATGAATGCTTGATAAATATCTTTCATTATTATAAGATATCATGAGCTCAACTTGCTATTTTCAATTGATATCTTATCATGGATTGATGAATTATTATCTTTTATCAAGAATTGTCATCTTGCTAAATTTCATATTCGAAATTTGTATCATATTTGAAAATGATGATTGTCTGTCATCGTTGACTTGACATCATAAATATGTGATATCATATTTTGAATTGGTAAATCATGATAAGTATTATGATATGCATATTGATAAGTTTAAATGAATATAACTTATCAGTTTGATGCTTGAATTCAAATATATCTTTTCTCAATTATGGCATATAGATAGGGGGAGTTAAGGTTAACTCCGTCATCAATTGATTATCATCATAAAAAAAGGGAGATTATTGAATCTCGAATTTTGACGATGAAATCAATTGGTAAATTATTTGATCTAATCTATATGTTGAGATAAGTATACAGGATTAACTATGATAGTGGTAAGACATGAAGTAGATATTGGGCCGGAGTCAAGATCGAGATTTTGTTGGGAGTTCGAGAGTTCGTCAGAAGTTCGGACGTTCATCAGAAGTTCTATCGGAATTGACCGAGAAGTCCAGGAGATTGCCAAAGAAGCTTATCGGAACTCGCCAAGAAGATCATCGTAAAATCCAGGAGCTTGCCGAGAGTCCACTGGAATATTGCCGAAAGATCATCGGAAGTTAGCCAAAAGATCGCCGGAAGCTCACCGGAGGAACAATTGACATACCAAACCAATATCATTTAATTAATGTATTAAATTCTCGTAGTTAGAACTTAAATTGAGTTAGGATTGAGAGGTAATATCACTAACTCAGTTAGAGGCCAACTAGGCCCTTAACAAGGCTGAATTGGGCCGGTTGAAACAACCCATTCAGCACTTGAAGTCATGGCCGACGGGACCTATAAATACCCCACCCTTTTCTACATTAAAGGGCATGAAAGTGTGAACAATATCTTGAATTTTTGGAGTGTTAAAAGTGTTGTAAAAGTGCAAAGAGTCCTCCTCCCTTTCTATTATTGTAATCATTCAAGAGAGGTGTGAGGCTTCTAAGGGTTATCTCCTAAACCCATAAAAATGAGAAAACGCTGTAAAGAGGTAGTTGGTCTTCACCCATTGAAAGAAGACCATTAGTGGATGCCGATGACCTCGATGGAGGAGGAATCAGAAGTGGATGTAGGTCACAACGATCGAACTACTATAAATTCTGGTGTGTATTTCTATTATTATCATTTACTTTGCAATTGCTTCACTTTCTCTTTACTCGGCTTTCACTACCCTAACGAACAAACATGCTTTCAAGCAAACTTCCGAGATTGGTTTTTTAACATATAAAGAGTTTTTAAACCGATGTTTTTATACGCTGCACTAATTCACCTCCCCCCTCCTTTTAGTGCCAACTCGATCCTAACAAAAGGTTCTCTCCTAGGCCTGTGAAAATGAGAAAGAGTTGTAAGGGTAGTTGATCTTTGCCCGTTGAAAAAAGAATCGGTAGTGGAAGCTAGTGGCCTTGTGTGAAGAGGAATCGAGAGTGAACATAGGTCATGATGATCGAACCACTATAAAAATGATTTGCATTTCCTTCATACTTTTCATTTATATTACTAACTGATTTACTTGCTTACTACTCTCACCATGTTTACGAATGTGCTCTCTAAGTTTAAACGCTTTCCAATATGATTTCATCAAATGAGTTTTCAAACTGACGTGATTTTTTGAAAGCACTAATTCACGCCCCCCTCTTAGTGTCGATACGGTCCTAATAGTTGGTATCAGAGCCAAGTTTTTCTCGATTGGTTTAACACCCAAGAGAATGGCTTTTACCAACAAACCAAAGTATCACTCTATTATTCATCCT